CTAGAACAAATCATGTTAAGTGAGGTAAGCCAAGATTAGAGAGACAAGCAGCACATATTCTCCCTGATATGTGGAAGTTAGATCTAAAATGCACTGAGATATGACAAATTACACAAGATTCTAGATACAGTGAGACCAGAAGAGGATAGTCTTAGGAGAGAATCACAAAGGTGCAATGCCTAAGTGCTTCTTCGAATTTATATAAAATAATATACATAGTAAATATACTCCTAAGATAGGGAAACAAAAGACTTTTCTTAATTTGTTTTTTTTCTATTTCTGATGACTCTGTATTCTTTAACTTATAGATGGTATGTTTATGTGCACATCTGTGGGAGGGTGGAGGGAAGGCACAGAAGCAGATGAAAAGGTGCAGCAATGGAGCTCACTGGACACTGGTGAAAGTGAACTGTACAACTCATGGGTGGAGGTGGGAGGGAGGGAATGAGAGAGTGAGGGAACAGACGACACTATGCCAAAGAAACTGTGCTATTACCTGACACATGTAAAGGTAACCCTGCTGTATATCACCTCTAAAGCAACACAAAAGTAAATTAAAAAAAATCATAGTTCAAACATACTTAGGCTGGTACTTTGATGTATGTGTTTTTTTTTCCCTCCTTTTTTTCCCTTCTGCCCAAATGTTGTCTTTTGAATAATGCAGCTTACTTCAGCCATGATTTTTGTCATAATGAGGGTCCTTGTCAACCAAAAAGCCCCAGGACAAGGTGAATTGGAGATTGTTGCTACTTTGCAGTCTTATTTTCCTAGGAGACAGAACCTTTTCAGGATATAAAGCACTACAATATTCTTCATGGGTTTGGAAGAGTTCTGCTTTAGATATGAGCTTATCCTTGGCTATGGGTGTATTGTTTGTTGTCCTTACTGAAGGACCTCTATTTTACCATTTGGAGGAAAATTTGAAGTCTTTTACCAGCCCTGTGAGGTGGCTCAGACCTATAGTAGAATATTCTCCTTTTTTTTAATTATCTCAGACCTATAACCTCAAGGCCAGACTGGGTACCTAGGGAGACCTTTCTTAAAAATGAAAATCTGCCCAAACCACCTGGTACAATGATTTTTTTCAACATTAAATTGGCTTCTTTGAGCTATAATTGTATAGTTTTCATTTTCCATCTTGTATTTTTCCCTTGAGTGGCCAGTGTGCTTATAATTGACTAGAACTGTTGCCATGACTCCAAACCCAACCTCATTCATTGCTAGCATCTCAGGTCTAGATTAGCTGGGAAAATTAAGTGTTCAGAGATTCAAAGCTTGCTTGCTTTCCTGGGGGCATGAGAAGAAGTGGAAGTTGTTTTTCTTGAGTGCTGAGAGCCATAGCTCGTGTGGTCTATGAAGGTTTTGCCCTTCCCATCTGTTCTTGGAAGACAGTTTATTCAAACAGGAAAACCTGGATAAACAACTGGTTCTTGCTTCCTTTGAACCTCATCTGGTCTTAGTTATTTGCTCTCTTAGACTTAAGCCTCTTCACCTGTTCCTGGATAGCTTGCTTGCAGCTGGTTAAAGATAACACCTGATGGACTGAAGTTTGATTCAATTGCCTTGCTCCACATTCTGTAATTTTCCACAATCCGCCATCCTCAGAGAAACAGATTGGAGGCTTGCTCTTCACTTCTCACACATGGCTTCCTCATGACTAAATTCTTTCTCTTTTGTAGAACTCTGCAGTGGCTGGCATGCTCCATAGTGAGCAAAACACACCATGTTGGTGGCATTTTTAAAAAACCATTGCCAATAACAAAATATATTGAAAACCTTTTCAAAGCAAGCTGTTTTGGTGAGGAAGGAAAACTATAGAATCTGCCTCCAAATGTTTCAAACGATATAAAATGTTGGAATCACTTACTCTGCTCGGAGCTAAAAACAAATGAAAACACTTTTTAAAGCTTTGTTCTTCATTGCAAATCCTTGTTGAAATTCTCCTAAAGGAATTTCTCATAGTTTTCTAAAATTCTCATAAAGGAATTTCTCATAGTTTTCTAAAGCTTTATTACATACACGTTATTTTTTATTGTAATTGAGATAATATTGCGATTGAAAATAAAAGAAATATCCTTACCTAGCGCTGGTGGCTCATGCTTGTAATCTTAGCTACTCAGGAAGCTGAGATCTGAGGATTGCAGTTCAAAGCCAGCCTGGGCAGAAAATTCAGTCAGAATTTTTAAAAACGTATTTGTATTGTAAAAGTGATATATAGAGGGGTGACAGTTATATAAGTCAGATAATGAGTCCATTTCTTTTTGAACAGTGTCACCTCTTCCCTCATTTTCTCCCAGTTTTTTCCCTGTTGACCCCACTTCCCCACAAGTTGTATAGTTCATTTCAACATTGTGTCTAGTGAGCATTACTGCTGCCTTTGTTCACCCTTTGTCCCATCATTTCTGGGCTCTCCCTGACCCTCCCCCAAAAAGATAACCTTGCATTCAAAAGGTTCGGAAAAAAAAAACAGCTACAAAGGAGAAACAAAACAAAACAAAACAAGCAAAATAACAAAGAACCTCTTGTTTCCTTTTCTTGGAGTTCATTTCAATAGACATCTGTGAGACTCTTATCTCCATTGAGCTACCCAGAAAAAGCCATACATAGTGCTGTGGCTGGAGTGGTAGAGGGCTAGCCTTAAGTGCAAAGAGGCTCAGTGACAGTGCCCAGGCCCTGAGTTCAAGGCCCAGGATTAGCAAAACGAACAAAAACAAAAACCCCTTTACTTTCGTAAAATCGATTAGATAGAGGAGGTGCTGTCTTTTTCCTGTTTACTTTCTTGGGGGCAGGACTGGTGTTTGAACTTGGGGCCTTGCCCTTGCCAGCAGGTGCCTATTGCTGAGCCACGCCTCCAGACTAATATTTTATAGAGGAAAGTGAAGTGCCTCAGATTGTTACTTGATGGTAGTTGCACAGCTGATCATTTGTGAAACCAGGATGGACCCCATATTCCTGATCCTGCTTTAATCCCATCGGAGCGGCCTCCAAAGACTGTGTTCTTTACCTTATGTACTGTGTATATAGGTATATACAGGTACAGGTGTTCTGTGTGAGTTTCCTATTTGCTGCTGTTAATGTAAATTGACGCCCTATCCTCAGAAAGGTCAGAAGTCCCACAGTGTAAGTAGACTGTTTTCCTTCTGGAGGCGTCAGGAGAGAATCTGTATCTTAACCTCTTCCAGCTTCTAGAAGCTGTCCACAGGCCTTGGCTCATTCCTATTCTCCATCTTTTGACCAATTCCAGGAACACAGTATCTATGTGTCCCTATTTCTGTCTTTCTTGTTCCATCTCTGGCCTCCTTCCTCCTGCTCCCCTATGCAAAAGAGTCTAGTGATTATATTTTACCTACATGGGTAGACCAGGATAGTCTGTCCAGCTCAAAAATCCTTAATCAGAACTGCAGAGTTCCTTTTACTATGTAACTGTATCCACGGCTTTCTGTAACTAGGATGTAGACATTAATGGACTATTTCTTCCTTTCGCATACATTCTACTGACTCCCTAATTTAAATGATTTTTAAATCTCATTTTATGGTGCTGGGTTGAATTCAGGGAATGCTCTCATACTTAAGGTCTACCTCCAGCCCTTTTGTCATAGTCCTGCCTTATACTTTGATCTTCCTGATCTCTGCCTCTTGAGTAGCTGGGATTGTAGTTGTGAGCTATTATGCCTGGCCTGTACTAAACAAATTTAAATAGAACATCTCTAAACCTTTAAAAGAATTAGAGCTAAATATTGATTGAGACTTATTTTGAAGCACTTTCTAAAATTGTATATGTATTATCTTATTCTCATGACAATACTAAGTTCTGTCATTCCTGGTTATTAAAGGAAGGAGCTCAATTTCAAAGATAAACTCAAGGTCACACTGCTAACAAGTTAACAGCTGGAGTTCAAAAATTGGATCAATCTAGCTGTGCATGGTGTTACATGCCTGTAATATCAGCTGTCCAAAAACAAAGGCAGGAAATTGTGAGCTTGTTGTCAGTCGGGACTGTATAGTAAGATTGTTTTGAAATGCCAAAACCAAACAAAAAAAATAGATGTATCCAAGAATCCATGTGGAGATTTGCAGTATTAATCTCTAAGGAAAGAGACTGGATACAGATGTTTCGCGATCATACTATCAGGCTGGTGTTCTTCAACAGGTACTTTGTGAAACACTCCGTGTTAAGGTCATCCAGTAAAACTTCTGTGCTGATGAAAACTTGTCTGTATTTCTACTTTCTATATATCTATAGCTATAACTCATAGGTACATATTGAACACTTCAAACGTGGTTAGGATACCTGAAGATTGATTTTTTAAGGTGTATGTACTTATAATTAAATTGAAATTGAGACAGAACATTTTTATCTTAACTTGTCTAACATTGAGGTCTAACAGAAGCCCAAGCCTGTATAGAGATGTTACTTTCATGCACACTACTACATATGACAGCTAATTGGCATTTGAAGAATAGCTGTGGAAAGCTTTTGAACACACTTCTGGAAGGACTGTGTGTTTGTGCGGGAGGTAATAAGAGAACAGGATTTCAGGTGTTAGTGCCATCTGAAGTATTGGTTAGTGTGACAATCCCCCTTCACTCATTCAGCAAGAATCTGTGAAATTACTCTAGGAATCTTGGGGAAATCAAGGTTGTGGGACTAGGGTCCTGCTAAAAGGTACAACTATTCTAGAAGGACAGGAAGTACTTTGGTGAAAGTGTTAGCTATGATATTGCCTAAGGCAATAGTACTGGGGCAAAAACCAAGTGAATAATAGTGGTCTAATGGTGTTCAGGTTTACTTTAGCTGTGGCAATACTTTTCATACAAAATTTACATAAAAAAATGGGAGCTCCACTATTTGAAGCAAGTGCGGGGATAAAATCATAGTCTTATTTTCTTCTCTTTTTTTCTTTTCTCTTTGACAGTCATGAGGCCTGAACTCTGGGCCTGGGTGCTGTCCCTCAGCTCTTCAGCTCAAGGCTAGTGCTCTATCACTTCAGCCACAGCACAACTCTCGGTTTTCTTAGTGGTTTATTGGAGACAAGAGTCTCACAGATTTTCCTGCCTATGCTGGCTTTGAACCGTAATCCTCAGATCTCAGCCTCCTGAGTAGCTAGGATTACAGGCTTGAGCCACCGGCGCCCGGCTACATAGTCTTATTTTCTACAGTACTTCACTTACTGTTGGTGGCCCTCATGGTGCTTCTGTGAAGCCAGGATAGAGTGCATAGTTCACAGGTCGAATCCAGAAAAGTCTCAAGCTCAGATGCAGGCGAGTTCTCGGGATTCCCATGGAAGGCAGTGAGGGAGGGCAGGGGTGTGTGAGAGGAGGGTGCTATCCAGATATTATCTCTATTAAATATTTTAAAACACATTTAACACTCATATCTTTTGAAAGAATCCTAATGGATTGTAAAGTTTGTCTTTTCATGTTATGTCAAAAAGTAAATTCTGTCATACCAATACTGAGCTGTACTTTTTATATATAGCTTTCCAGTTTTCCTTTCTTCTTCCTCCTCCTCTTCACTTTTCTCCCTCCTCTAGTTTTTTCTTTTTCTTTTTTCTTGTGCCAATCCTAGGCTTGAATTCAGGGCCTGGGTGTGGTCTCAGAGAGTTTTTGGCTCCAGGCGCGATAGCGATAGCACTCTACCACTTGAGCCACAGCCCTACTTTTGAATACTTGGCGGTTCACAGCCTCCTGAGTAGCTAGGATGAGCCACTACTGCCCAGCCTCCTTAGTTTAAAAAAGTTGCCACTGCCAATTTTAATGTGTTATTTCCAAATATGGAAAGAATAGGCAGTAAAGTGGAATATTTTTTTCCTTTTCTCTACTTGGTTATTTCTAAAGAACACTCAGCAAAATATGTGCATTCTATCATGAATGATTATTGTTGTCCTAAGTACTAGGTATCAAGATGGAGACATTTTCTTGCATCCATTTCCAGGTGAAAAGAAGTGACTGAAATAACTACCTTCAAGAGCTACAAGCACTAAGATGAGTCAGAATTTGGTCCCAGGCAACTTGGCTTTGCCACTTGAACTATTAGACATTAGCTCATCTCTAACAGAGGCTTGTTCTCTGGTAACTACTGCTGGGGAAAGGTTAGCCAAGGGAGGTATGAGAATGGTCCCTAGAGAGAAGCAGAATATGGACATCGGGTGCTGCCATGTTTCTCCGAGGGAGAGCTTACTCTCCATCTCAGTGCACTGCCCTCTCTCAACAGAAGCCCTGCTGGTTGTACAAGTGATCTAACAGTGTGTGACGAGGTCTCCATGGTTTTTGATCCACATTTATAAATTGCACGTGTACCCATAATATTGAGTGAGAATCTATTGAGTTCCTTAGTAAGTTTGCTTGGATGCATTGCTTCCCTTTCTGGTTGAATCCCACCCTCCATTGCTAAAGAACAGGCCAAGGAAGATGTTTGAATGGACTCTCTTTAATGTTTGGTTTTCAAACTCCTTTTTAAATTGTCTTGCTTTTTATGCTGTTGTTGTTGGTTGTGGGGCCTGAGTGCTGTCCCGGAGCTCTTCAGCTCAAGGCTAGCATTTGAGCCACTTAAGCCACAATACCACTTCCAGTTTTCTGGTAGTTAATTGAAGATCAAAGTCTCATAGACTTTCCTGCCTGGTCTGTCTTTGAACTGTGATCCTCAGATCTCAGCTTCCTGAGTAGCTAGGATTACAGGTGTGAGCTCACTGGCTGTCTTGTTTTTTTGTCTCTCCATTTCCACAGATTAACTATAGCTGCTATAATTGCTAATTTAATTCTTTCATGAAGAGAAGGCAATTTGGATAACTTTCTGAGCCCATTTTGGTTTTGATCTTGATAAAACAATCTTTAAAATGCTCTGGTTCACTTTTCTTAGTATCTTTCTTCTGTTCACTGAAGATCCAAAGATTTTGCTATGGGCCATGGAGGGGCAGGTATGGAGCTAATGTACTTTGATGGTGTGTTTCCCTTTGCTAGAGCGACTGTAATGTGGCTTGAATGGTAGAAATGTGTTACCTCACAGTTGTGGAGTCTGGAAGTTCAAGATGAGGATGTGGGCAGGATGGGTTCCCTGTGGGTGTGAAGAAGCTGTTATGCGCTTCGTTGGCTTCTGGTGACTACTGGCAATCTCTGGTGCTTCTTGGTTTGTAGAGGCATCGCCCAGTCTCTGCTTTCATCTTACTCCAGTGTTTTCTCCCTGGGTGCATGTTTGCTTGCTAATATCCCTTTTAATAAGCACACCAGCTATATTGGCTTAGGGTCCACCATTATTCTCATTTTAACTGGATCATGACCTTATAAACCTTATTGCCAGTAGGGTATGGTGGTATATGCCTTTAATCCCAGCACTTGGGAGATTGAGAAAGTAGACTGGAGGCTTGGAGGTTAGCCTAGGCTACACAGTGACATTCTATCTCAAAAACCAAAGCAAAACAAAACAAATCCCAAATCTATCTCTAAATAAAGTCATATTGTTGAATTCAACATAACAGGGTGTTTGCTTCTTTCCATTTTTTTGTCTTCTTTTTCCTCTGTGCCAATATTGGGGTTTGAACCCAGAACATGGACACTGTCCATTAGCTTTCCCAATCAAGGCTGGTGTTCTACCATTTGAACCACAACTCCATTTCTAACTTTGTTTTGGTGGTTAATGAGAGCTAAGAGTCTGACAGACTTTCCTGCCAAGGCTGGCTTCCCACTTGGACCCTCAGATCTCAGCCTCAGTAGCTAAGATTACGGGTATAAACCACTGGGGCCTAGCTTAACACTGTGTTTCAGAATAAAGTATAGCTCCAGCTTCCTTACTTGGTGATAACTTGTGATAGCTCTCTTTCTCCTAAAAGGCAAGTCCAGAGTGGAGTAGGAAAGATGATTAATCAAATTAACTAAACTTTCAGATTTCCTACTAGCATGGTCAAAGCAATGGTAATGGGAAGTGAGGCCTTCACTTAGGAATCTCTTTAAGGAAGAAAATGGACAACAATTATCCCATGGGCTGGGGACATAGCTCAGAGACAGAACTCCTGCCTAGCATGTAGAAAGCCTCAGCACTGCAGACATCAACCAACCAACCAACAAAATAATGTATTGCCAGGCACCAGTAGCTCATGCCTCTAATCCTAGCTACTCAGAGGGCTGAGATCTGAGGATCGTGCTTCAAAGTCAGACTGGGCAGGAACATCCGTGAGACTGTTATCTCCAATTAACCGTGAACACTGGAAGTGGAACTATATCTCAAGTGGAGTACTAGCCTTGAGTGCTAGCTGAAATGCTGAGGGACAACGCCTAGGCCCAGAGTTCAAGCCCTGCAACCCACCAAAAAAAAAACAAACCCCAAAACACCCCCCCCCAAAACACTCAATATATTAATGAGATACTTTATTTAGGGCCTGAGGTCTTTGTTCAGTAAAATGCAATCTTAGCATGCCCAAGGCCATGGGTTCAATCCCCAGACTGAGGCAGTGGGGTGAAGGGGAGAACTGGTTAATAATTGTACCATAGAGTGTCATTGAAAATGTCCACTAACTACTATCAGATGAATGTGTAATTAGTAATGACTGTTGTGCCCATGTTGCAGGACCCCACCAAGAAGACCACAGAGAGTCAGACATTCCAAAATGCAAAAGCAAGGTTTTATTTAGATGGGCTGCAGCTCGGGCCTCGTCCTACACTCTGACACAGCGGAGCCTAGAAGGAGAGCCCTGAGCTAAGGATTTGCAGGGCTTATAAAGGCACACACCAGGTATTTGGATTACCACCACGTGTAGCTCTGCTAGCTGAGATAAACAAGCAACAAATGGTCACTGCCTCAAGAATGGAATCACTTTAACCCTTCATTCCCCCCTTTGACTTATGGTCCTGAGACACAATCTTGTGGCTCTGGCCCCAAACTAAACTCCAACAGCTCTCTATCTTGAATGGGTTCTTTTCCTTTCTAGTCCCTCTCTGACCTTAGCCATAAACAACAATACCAATAACAATCAGTCCTTCTTTCCTTGAGGCATTCACAAAGTGGTTGGGTAGGATGCTTGGAGACTTCCCATGTTTCCCCCACGGTCATCCAGGGCAAAGGGGTCAGCCGGTCTGGTGTGGGAGCAGTGGATCCAAGCAGCAATGCTGTCCACCTTAAGGGCAGTGGGTGTAGCCAATAGCACCATGTAAGGTCCCTTCCACTGTGGTTCCAGAGATCTCAAGTTGTGTCTTCGAACAATCACCCAGTCCCCTGGTTTAAATGAATGGGGGATAGGAATAGAAGTAGAATCATATAATGCTCTAAGCTGCCACTTAATTTTGTGGACAAGCTGTAGATAGTCAAGTTTGCATAGAAATTCAGTATCACTCAAATCAGCAAGTAATTCAGTCTGAAGGCTAGGGATAATGGGTGAAGGGTGTCCATACATTATTTCAAAAGGAGTAAAGCCAAGCTGATAGGGTGAATTTCTTACTCTAAACAGGACAAAAGGAAGGAGCGATACCCAGTCTGCATCAGTCTCCAAGGCCAATTTAGTTAAGGTCTCTTTTAGAGTCCGATTCATTCTTTCTACCTGCCCTGAACTCTGGGGTCTATAAGCATAGTGCAATGTCCAATACGTCCCCAGTGCGGTGGCTATTCCCTTACTTTTGAAACGAAGGCCTGTCCATTGTTTGACCCAATGGTGGATGGGAAGCCATACCTGGGTAGGATTTCTTCCAAGATCTTCTTAGCTGTGATGTTCGTGGTCTCATGCTTTGTTGGCTAAGCTTCAACCCATCCTGAAAAGGTGTCTACAAAAACTACCAAATAATTTCTGTGAAGTCTACTTCCCAAAACACACCTGGCCTATCTCTACGGAGGCAAGCTCCTTTGGTAACTGGTTGATTGGGGGCATTGGTGAGCTGCCAGGCTTTACAATTTTTAACAATGTCCTCAATGAGTTGATTTCCTTGCCTAATTTTTACTTCTGAGTGTCAGAGCAAGTCCTGCATTCTTTGGGTTCACATGTGAGAGGCCTGATGGATTCTCTTAAGAATCCCCTTGCCCAATCTTTGTGGCAAGATAAGTTTCCCCTCACCAGTTTTCCACCAGTCTTTGTTTCCTTTTCTGCCCGGGGGTTTATAGGCCATGGGAATTTTCTTTATCCACTCCAAGTCTTTGCTCTACTGACTCTAGTAGACCCAGGGCCATGAGCTTTACCTCCTGAGCCTCAGTACTCCCAAGAGATAAACTTTGTCCTGAAGAGTTTCAATGCCAGGCACTCGTGCCTCATGCCTCTAATCCTAACAACTCAGAAGGCTGAGATCTGAGATCTAGCCTGGGCATGAAGGTCCATGAGACCATTACTTCCAATTAACTACCCAAAAGTTTGAATTGGAGTTATAG